ATTATAAAACTGAAATAAACATCTATTATTTGAGGAGCTCTTTGTGATAACAGCCTAATCTAACACTGTGACATGTGCATTAAAGGATTTCTCTTCATTTTCTCCTGCAAAAGAGTTAGGAACAGAAAGGCAATGAAAGCTATAACATAGAATTGTGAGATAATTGTTTTTAGCCAGCTTGTTTTGGACACAGTGTCTCAGCATTGGAGGGAAAGGTAGCAACAGAGGCAAAGGGTTTGTAGAGTTTATGTTTAAAACTCTTTTAAGGAAACCTTTGATCTGACCTCAAACAATTTTGAAAATAGGATTCAATCAAAAGATGGAGTAAGACTGTTTTCGGTAGTATTAAGAAATTGCTGACCTCTAGCAATTAGGAAACTCTTCAACCATAAAGTATAGCAAAAACATTATATATGACCCTTAATCCTAGTCACTGCAACATCAGCCCTCTTTCCTACCAACTCCAGAAATGCCAGCAACCAAGTCTATAACCCCCAGTATATTAAGAATACTGGAAGTGTCTATAGCCAGAAAGAATACTAGAAGCTTTCTCTAGAAAACTGAATCCAAGGACCAGCAATTGGCATAAGGCCTATGTTGCTGGGCTCCCATGTAGTAGACCATGGTTCAAGTCCTGGACCCAGTGGCTTAAACTCATGCTGGGCACATGTGCGTGCATGCCCAAGATCCCGCAAAGGAGAATGGAGGAGAAGGGATTGTGGGTTGGCCATCCCCTGGGGGGGAGGGGGTGATTTCTCGCTTTCTGTCTCTCTCTGTCTTTCTGGTGAGCGCACATGCCCTATAGCAAAAAACTCTTAAAAAGAAAAGAAAAGAAAGAAAGAAAGAAAGAAAAGGAAACAGAATGCCTAGAGTAAAGACATATAGATTCTGACATTTAAGGATTCCTATTCAAATTCCAAGTTCCTACCATCTACAGAGTGAGTGACTTTCACCAAGTCACCAAATTCATCCATACCCAGAGATTCCAAAAGGAACTTTCCTATTTCATTTTTAATATAAAAGAGTGGAATCAAGAGCTAAAAGTATCTCATGTTTGAAGACTACAATATATTTAAAAAGCCAATATAAGTACATATAAAAGCCAAAAAAAAGTAAAATATTGCTAAATTAATTACAAATGGTTCCCAACCAATGTTTCGTTACGGTATAACTGCTTCCTGAGATCAATGAAATGAGAGACAGAGGCTAAGAAAAAAAAGGAGTTTTTTTCTATTGACATAACTGGCTACAGGGAGACTATCAGGAACCATTAAACTTTCAAAAATCTCAACATATCCTTGGTATTTATGGATACAAGTAGGGGCAAATCACTCCTCACTGCAATCAGAGTCAATCTCTTTCCCTTGGTAATTACCCTGATTCCTGTTTTACTTTAAATAGCCATCCCAGGTTTCTCATCTCACCATTCCTCAAAACGATCCGCCACCATGACTCATCAGTTGGTCAGTTTGTTCTCATTAGAAGCCTTTCTTAATTTAAACATGGCTGCAGTCCTGCTAAATCTTAAACTGGCCTGCTTCAATTCCCACTGTCAAAACACCTATAATTTCTATCACAGTTGTATTTTATTATTTTTTAAAAATGCTAAAATACCACTCCCGATCAGTTCTGGTCTTATGGAATGATTGAGTCATGAGCTTTGGTATTTTCAGAACACAGTATAAGCATCCTTTGAATACCAAATACCTAAAGAGTAAGATCAATAATCCAGTAATTAACAATTTTCCTATTTCTATCATCCTTTGTCCATTTGGGAGACAGGAAAATATACTAGAAAACCAATCAGTAGCCTCTGTTAATAATGAGACATATAGACTTAGAGTGACCTGAAGCCAAGTTACTTGCTATTCAATCTTCTTAACACCAGTCTCCACCTGAGATAATGTGCCCACACAAGAACAACAGAAAGTATCAATTGTCACACAAATATCATCTGTTTAGCTAAAAATAATCTAACACCACCTTTTTATCTAATACCACCCCACCAAAGACTCTAAAGGAAGCTACAAATTATCTGTAGCTTTGCCAGTCCCATTCACCAAGTTTAATAGAGTCTTAAATTTCGTATCACATGTGGGGAGCCAAGAAGGAGACTTGAGGAACGTGCAGGTCGTGACCGCTAGATGGAGACCAAGGTTATTGTCTGGACCTAACCTTGGGTGTCTGAACTGTTATGTGCAGAATGTTCCAAGTACTGTTACAACAACCTGATAAACTCAGCAAGAACTTTTGAGTCCCACATTAAGGAAGCCAAATGTTTCTGTATAAAACAGAGCAATAAACTTAAATCGTGGCTGACCAGTATTGATTGGCAGTCCTCCCGTTTCTATCCTGGTCTTTTTTTCTTTAATCCTCGCCCCCCGCCCCCAACTCAGGAACTGTTTGCTGTTGGCAGATCCGACAATCACATGTTGGTGGGCTGCAACTCCCCAACAAGGTAACAAGGTACAGCCAAAGAAATATTCTTCCATCTTCCAAGCATGCTTACCAAAGATTTTTCACTGGCATGGTTCTTTAACAGTTCTTGTTGCCAGGGATGCTAATATCAGAAAACACCTTCTCTATGACCTTTCCTGCTGTTTAGTCAGGTTGATAAAAATGGCTCTATTATGATTTTGAAAATTTTTACTTTTCCCCTTTTAACCAAGATCTCTCTCTAAGCATCATGGATAATTTATCCTATTATCATGCGTTAACTGTCCCTCAGTGCTAGAATGGATTTGTCCTGCTGTTGGTCTAGTTGTCCCATGCTGGAGGGGACCAGAGATTTTGAGTAGGTGACAAAATCCTTTTTTTTTTTTTTTGGCCACATTTGATCAACAAGGTTGTTTTTAAAGGGAGTTTACCTGAAGTTCACTTATTCTAAAAGTGCTAGCAACCTGTATTCAAGAAAACTTGTCAGAGTCTTTTCTGAGGGATCAATTTTAGAACTATAACAAAAAACTTAAAATAGCCATAATTAACATAGCCAGGTTGATGACAGTTCATTACAATAATGATATAACTAACAAAAATTCAGTTATTTCTATTACACACAGCACTTAATGATAACAACCAAAACTTGACTAATGGCAACATATCAGCACTTTCAGAACTTTAAAAATTTTACATTACTTTAAGAACAGATAGTAGTGCGACCAGCAGTTAGCATAATGGCTGTGTTGCTGGACTCCCACGTAGTCGACAGTGGTTCAAGTCCCGGACCTGGTGCCTTAAACTCACGCTGGGCACTTGTGCGTGCCCAAGATCCCTAGAGGAGCAAGGAGAAGGGATTGAGGTGTGGCCCCCCAGGGAGGTGATTTCTCACTTCCTGTCTCTATGGCTCGCTCTCTCTCTTTCTGGTGAGCGCACACGCCCTATAGCGAAAAACCTCTCAAAAAAAAAAAAAAGGTAGTAATATTTATGTAAATATAACCTTTGAGGAAACTTAGCATTACTTGATCAATTGACAATACTTCTCATAAGCTGATTTACCAGATACACCAAGAAATACACAGAGAATTGAGAAGGTTTTAAATCTATCAGAAACGACATAACTTGTTCATAGGATCATAACTATATGTAAACCTGACTGCTAATATTTACCCCAAGGGATTTCGAGATAGAACTGAAGAAGTATACGCCATTAATAATCTGTCACAAACAAATGACAAAACAAATGACAAATGCCCAGATCCGTTTTTCAGGAACCCAAATAGCAGAAAACAGCGCCCGTTTAAACAAATGCCCCAAGTTGGCTCCCTAGAAGCCCAAATAGAAAAGGAAGAGAGACCCAACATGCACCATTCCTTTGACAACGTTTTATTTACATCCCTTTTTCCTCCTTTTGTTGAAGCCTCTACTGCGGTGGCAAACAAGATGCTTGTTTCAATTCTTTCACCCCTTTAGCCTCCCTATTCTGATACATCGTATAGGCAATGTCTATCAGCTGTGAAGCATTCATTCCTATTTCTCCTTCCACTTTCGGCAATCTCTTTCTGATATCTGGGGCACGCCAACTAATAAAAGTCATACTAACCATTCATTCTCATCTTCTGGAGTTTTAGGGGGTCAGTGTGTGAACTTCCTGCAAGTCTGATAAATTCTTTGCATAAATTCAGATGGGTTCTCTGAGGGTTTCTGCTGTTAATTCCTCTATTTTACTGAGGCCTAAGGTGGGGGGGGGGCTGATTTTATTCCCTCTAGTCATTCCTTGTCCATTTGTACCATTAGGATCCCAGTCTGAGTTGGTGTGAGGAAGGGCTCCTTTTGGGTCCACTTTCGTTGGCTGTCAGTAAAATATTCTTAAGAACCTGAAGATCTTCAAGAGTAGGGGAGTGAGTGACAAAAATGGTGGTAAATAATAGCTCTACCATCTTCTGTGGGTCCTCTCAGTAGAGAGGGTTAGAATTCTTCCAACTGAGTGGATCTTAAGAAAGGGCCATAGGTCCGATAGCAACCAGCCAGGGCTCGCTCCCTGTTGATTCTTCTCCACCAGGTACAGATTAAAGGCGTATTGCGCCACTCTGGGCTCAGATCTTTCCTGATCAAAAGTAGTATCCGACCTCGTGTGACGTGGAGACAAAGACTCTGCAGCCTCCTCATAAGGGGCAGGAGTTCATCCCCTCCTTTGGCTTCCACCAGTGCTGGAGCCAAAGGGTTCAGTGAGTCTATTGGCCTCAGAGTTTCAGCCTTTCGCTGTCTCTGACTATCAGGGCAAACCTTAGAAGACCACAGATTACAAACGTGCACTTCCAACTCAAACAAGCCTCGTTTCCCTCAAGGCAGACTTCGTAACTAATGCTACCCACACACTCACAAGACACAAACTACAATGACCATGTTACCAACTGCAAAAGGCCTAGACTGCAAAAGTGCACCTCAAATTCAAGACAGCCTAGTTTCCCTTTCCATGGCACCCAAACCGCTGCTCTTGAATGGAACCCCAACAGGAAAGCCTTTGATTTGCCAGCTTAAGATCTGGTTTCACTTACCGAAAAAGTGGGAAGGTCCGCTCCCAACTTCCATTCTTACTCCGGCGGTGGCAGGTCTCCAGGAAAATGCCCAGAAATTTCCCAGAACTAAACTTCCGGCTGCCGCAGGAAGCTCCGAGTGGTGACTCCCACTGATTGGTTCTGCTCACAGCGCCAGCTGTTGCTGGACCGCTAAGTCTAGCCGCTGCTTCTGCAGGTTAATGAAATGAGAGGCAGAGGCTGGAGCCGGGAGTTTATTTCGCTAACCGGTTATAGCAAGAGATCAGTAAGCACCATGAAACTGTCTAGAAAGGCTCAACGTGTTTTTGGTATTTATGGATACGAGATAACAAGCACGTGCAAATCATCCCTCACTACACTCAGAGTTAATTGCTTTCCCCTGAGTAATTACCCTAATTCCTGTTTTACTTCAAATACTCTTTCCTGAGGGCCCAGCAAATGGTGTAATGGTAATGTCGCTGGACTCCCATGTAGTCGCCTGGGTTCTAGTCTTGGATTCAGCAGTTTAGAACTCAAGACACGTGCATGTGCTTGCATCCCTAAGATCCTGATTGCGGTGTGGCCATCCTCCCTGGGAGCTGATTTCTCAGTTTCTGTCCCTCTGTCTCTATCTTTGGAGAGTGCACACACTCTATAGCAAAAAATTTCTCTTAAAAAAAATGAAGAAATACCCTTTCCTCATTTCTCATCTGACCATTTCTCAAATGGATCTCCCAGTGACTTAGCTCTTTGTCAGATTGTTCTTGTTAGAGGCTTTTCTTAATTTCAAAGTAGTTGTAGTCCTGCTAAGCCTTAAGCTGGCCTGCTTCAGTTTCACTTACAATGGTTTAACAACAATTTTTCAACTTTACAATGTACTAAAACTGTACATATTCAGTAGAAATTATGCTTTGAGTATCAATAGAGCCATTCTGTTTTTTACTTTCAGCACAGTAGTCAATAAATTACACGAGATATTCAATAATTTATTGTAAAATAGACTTTGTATTAGATCATTTTGTGCAATTGTAGGCTAACGTGTTCTGAGCACATTTAAGAAAGATAGGCTTATTAATCATGTTTGAGCATGCTAAATGATTTTTTTTTCTTTTTGTTTTAATTATTAAAGGGCGCATTCACTTGCCCAATAGAGACAGAACTCCACAATGCAACATGGTCACAGCCCTGTCCCTTCTCCATATTTCCATTCTGTTGGATTTTTTTTTTTCTTAATTGCCAGAGGATGCATAAACTCATAAGAGAGACAGAGAGAAGAAAAGTGAGAAAATGCTTCTCATGTGGAATGGTCATGCCTCAATCCCTTCTCCACTTCTCCTACCTTTTAAGATTTTGGACATTCACACATAGGTACCTGTGTTTCAAGTAGCTGGACCTGGAATCAGCACCATGGTTAGCCTTGTGGGATCTTGTTCCATAAACCACTAGGCTACATGGCTGGTTCAAATTTGTATTTTCAATATTTTTATCATATAATGAGCTTATTGATATATAGCTCCATCATAAGTCAAAAAAGCATCCATTTTCTCATTCAAAGATACTTATATACTTATCAAAAAAAAACTTCTCTAAAGAAGAAACTGAAAAACAAAGAGATTTTAAAAATTAAAAATGCATTAGCTGGATCCAGAAGATGGTGTAATGGTTATGTGGCTGGACTCCCACATAGTCAACTGTGGTTCAAGTCCTGGACCTGGCAGCTTAAAATTCATGCAAAGCACAAGTGCAAAAATCCTGAGAGGAGAGGCAAGGAGAATGGACTATGGCATGGTCAGCCCCCTCCCCAAGGTGATTTCTCCCCCCTTCCCATCTCTCTGGAGAGTGCACCTATTGCAAAAATCTCTCCTCTCACCCCCCAGCCCCCCCCAAAAATACACTAGCTGATTTTTAGCTAAAAAAAATCCTAGAAAATAAATTGAATGCAGCACAAGGAAAAAGGGAAACAAAGGAAGAAAAAAAAATAAAGAAACGATTAATTCAGGAATTTCAATATTTAACCAACGTGAGTTCTGGTATATCACAAAATCATTAAAAGTAAGGGAGAAAAAAATTGCCAAGAAAAAAACACAAGACTATTTCCTAGACTGTTAAGATATAAGGTTATATTGAAAAGACCCATAAGTACCCCAAAAAATAAATTCAAGAACAATATGAGAACAAACTATCATAAATCTCATAACACCAAGGAAAAACAGATCATCTATGATTTCCCAAGAGAAAAAAAAAAGTTACACATAAAGGACTAAAAATTACAATGACTTCAGATAGCTCAATAGAAATATTGGAAACTAGACATTTATTTTCAAAATAGCATTAGGTAAATATGAAATATGCAGATGAGTAATAAAGTGTAATGATAGGATGGAAACAATTTTAGATCGCTTTATCAATAAGGTACTAGATTATATGAAAGAAATCTAAAAGAAAAGAAGAGCTATTATCAAGGTACTAGAGAAAATATAGAAATGGACAGAGAAGATGTAAGAGAAAATCTCCAAAAAGCTAGCAGAGGGAAGACTCAGACAAAAGTAAAGTAAATAATAACCTTTTCTAAAGAATGAACAGGCCAGAGGGCTCCAGGAAGAATGTCTTCAAGGCAAAACAAACAAACAAAAAAACAAAAACAAACAAACAAACAAACAAATAAAAAACTAATTAGTTACATAATTAACTGACAATGTATTAGAAAGTAATTTATGGAGCTATAAATGAACATAATAAACAAATTTTAAAAAGCAATTATTAAATTATTTTTTTTCTTTATGAGACAGAAGGAAAGAGAGAGAAAGAAAGAAACAGAGATAGGCATTTTTTTTTTTTTTGAGAAGTATTTGCTATAGGGCACGTGCACTCACCAGAGAGACAGAGAGATAGAAAGTGAGAAATCACCCCCCAGGGGAGATGGCCAAGCTGCAATCTCTTTACCTCCATTCTCTTCTCAGGATCTTGGGCATGCATGCACACGCGCCTGGCATGAGTTTAAGTCACCAGGTCCAGGACTCGAACCGCAGTCAACTACATGGGAGTTCAGCGACATAGCCCTTATGCTAACTGCTGGTCCCAAGATAGGCATTTTTGACAGGGTCCTATCCCAGACTCCCAATTTCCTAGAATTTCAGGTACTTGTAACTACATCTGTCCCAGCAAATATCCACACTTTCCTTGTGATTTCTAGACTCCCAAGTGGTGGTGCCACCTGTGTACCACCAGAGTTGTCCCAGAAGCAATTACTAAAACTTGACAAACAAAATTTTATACTAGAAAAATTACAGTCAATGCAGAAATCTTGACTGAGTAATTAGTAACATTTACAGAATCTTAATAATTAAAATATTGATTATATATTTAACAATTGAAATACAAATATATTTGGACAATGTGAAAAGAATGAGGCAGTCAGGATTGAGGCATAAAAAAAGCAATTTTTTTTTTATTTTCATTTCAAGTTTTTAAAAAAACTATCAGATTTTTATTGTATTGTTTTTAATTCACTGTCAGATACATGAGACAGAGAGAGAGAGAGAGCAGAGAGAGAGAGAAAGGAGGAAAGCACCACCCATCCAGAGGAATGGCTATGCCACAATCCCACATGTACCCATGATGTTTTTTAAGCTACAGGATCTGGGACTTAAACCATGCAGTTGGCCATGTGGGACTCAACCATCTTAACCATGAGATTTAACCCAAGAACTATTAGATTTTTAAAACATTTTACATTTAAGTTATATTTGTAACTAATGGTTTAGTTGAAAATTAAAATTTATTTAAACAAATCTCTATTAACGTACACATTCTACAAATGAACACTTAGAATTTTCCCTCCCCTCCTTTTATATCCACATCTTCAATGAATTGGGATTTATCTTGCATACACACACACAAACACACACATCCATTGAGCACAGGGTAAATGTGAAGTGGACTGGATCACTGAGAGACTTCTAGAAGCTATAATAGAGATGAATCATAGCATCAATGACTGTAACTAGCTTCAATATTTTGAAGCTGCTGAATTTGGTCCAGTCTTCTAGTTTGCCCTGACCGATCAATTATAGTAGTAAATACAATATATGAGTTTAAAGCCTGAGGCTCAATAGTTTCTGTATACTTCTGTTCTTGCTCCTGGGTCCTGCAATCTGGACTATAGTATTGAAGAATGGAAGACGACATGTGGCAGGGAAAACTATCTCGACTCCACTATTGTAGACCCTCCAGCCCCAAGCTGATGAAGCAACTGACTCCAGAAATGAGAAAGCCCAGTCAAGGTCAGCCAAGCCTGCTGCAGATCACAAAACCACTCTCTAACTCTAGGACTGAAATAATAATAGTAAATCATTGTTTTCAGCCACCAAGTTTTGGAATGGTTTCTTTCACAGTACATGGTGAGAAATCCCAATAGATATGACAAATCCTTGACATAATTTGTTGAAAAACGTTGAACTGAGAATTGAATTCCCCTAGGCAAACACTGAGATAACCATAAATTATAGGCAAGTGGAGCAGAATGAAGAAATGGAATGTAGTTCATTCAGTGAAAAAAGAAAAAGAAAAAAACACTAAAGGAGAATAAAATGACTTAGTTCCAAGGATCTGATGTTGCTAACACCTTTATTTGACTTCAAACTATGTAGTTTGATGAATAACTCAAAGCCTACCAATCACTGGGACCAAACAAAGCAGAGTAAGATTGTACCATGGTATGGGGGGAACCAGTTTTATTTAAATGTATCCAGTAGGTATATTCACATAAATTCACTGTAGTATCTCTACAAAAATATTTCCAAAATATTACTAGCCCTAGCAAAAATAAATAAATAAAAAGGGGGAGGAAGGGAAGGAAGGAGCAAGGAAGGAAGAAAAGCAGAAAGAAAAGGAAGGAGAGAAGAAATAAGAAAAGAATGAAGGAAAGAACAGAGAAAGGGAAAAGAAAAATTTTTAAAAGGAATCAACAGAAGTGATAATATATGTACAAGGTATATTTAGTAATAATGTAATCAAACAAAGTACAACTTTCAATTTTATGTGCATACTTCCTTAATTTCCTAAAGCCAAGATCAAAAAGGATTGTTAATTTAGTAATTATTGGGTCAATCCTCTAGCCTAGTAGTTAAGAGAGCTAGATCCCCCATGGCTGAACTTGGTTTGAATCCCAGCTCCAACAGTATGAAAAACATTCCAGGAGTGTGTGTGTGTGTGTGGTGTGTGTGTGGTGTTTTAAAAGGAATCAACAGAAGTGATAATATATGTACAAGGTATATTTAGTAATAATGTAATCAAACAAAGTACAACTTTCAATTTTATGTGCATACTTCCTTAATTTCCTAAAGCCAAGATCAAAAAGGATTGTTAATTTAGTAATTATTGGGTCAATCCTCTAGCCTAGTAGTTAAGAGAGCTAGATCCCCCATGGCTGAACTTGGTTTGAATCCCAGCTCCAACAGTATGAAAAACATTCCAGGTGTGTGTGTGTGTGTGTGTGTGTGTGTGTATGTGTGTGTGTGGGGGGGTGCGTGTGTGTGTGTGTGTACAAGCCCAAATCCCAACAGGATGAAGAAATGGAGGAGAAAATTGCTATACCCCATAAAGGGGTACTTTCTCTCCTTCTCTTTCTCTAGCAAGTGCATGGACCCTCTGGAAACTAAATATATAATAATAATAACAACTATAGTAGGAGTAGCAAAGAAAAAGAAACATGAAAAAATATTTTACTAATTGAAATAGCATTTATTTAAATATCTAGCTAGGCATCTTTTTCTCTTTCAGTATCAAAACTAGATCAAATTCATGAATCTACCTCAGAGTCCACTCATTTCTCAGACTCACCTTGGGTCATCAGAAATTACACATAGAGACATGTACATATTTCATAACCTCTGCTCACAGAATTAACTTTTTCTTTTTGCAAATTTAGAACTAATACTTTAATGTTAAGGCCTATCAAGAGAAATTAAGGTTCATCTGAAACAACTTTTGTCTAATGAAAAATGTAGGTTTTTAAAACCACATTTTATGTGGTAGAAAGTTAAACATTTACTCTTAAAATGTACTACTATGTCTACGTGAATACCAAATGATTAGGAGAATACATGACCAACTACTAACAGTAGCTTCCCTGAAATAGTAAGAGTGGAAAATGACTGGGGCTGGCTAGGTTTTCATTTTCAAATATACTATTTGAAGTTATACTATTGTAAATTTTTAAATTATAATGTATCTATATTGCTTACATAAACTTTTATAATACATTTGGAATATTTTATACATTACATAATTTTTATATGAGCTTAAATAAAAGGAAACTATGGTTTATATACAGCCAGAAAAAAAGGAGAATCTAAGATCCTAACCAAATGTACTGATAACTCTTTTATACGAATAAAAAAAAAGCTAATGAGAAAGAAATATAATTGATATCTAGATAGGCATTATAAGACATTTTAGGAAGACCATAGAATAAAAAATAGGCACTATGTATCTGCCCTTTTCTGTCCTTATGAAATAGTGATGTCAATATTCTGAATATTTATAAATTTCCTATTTTCAAAATTCTTTTACCCCCCACCCCCCACAACTCCCTTGGTTAGGAAAATTTAAGAAAATGAAAATATCCCTTCATGGAACCAGCTGATGATATAGCAGTTATACCACTTGGCTCTCACAGAGCCAACCACAGTTCAAGTCCTGATGGCTTCAAAATCATGCCAGGTGCATGTGTATGCACACTCAAGATCTGGGAAGAAAAAGGAGGAAAAGGGATTGGAACATGGTCAAACCCCTGGTGGGGAGTGATCTTTCACTTTCCCTCTGACTGTCTCTGTCTCTCTTTCTCCAGCAAGCTCATGTGCTCTAGGGCACAAACCTCTAAAAATTAAAAAAAGAAAAAAAAAATCTCTTCCGCACTGGTTTGCTTCTTCTAGGACCTCAAAGTCCTCTCCACCTAGCACTGAAATGAATATGAGTGTAAGCCATGACCCAGGCCTGGAACTGGTTCACGATTTGCTGGCTGTGCCTCAGCTATGTGGCCACAGTTATCCACAAAGGGGTAGGAAACAGAGTCTAGTTATTTGCTATAGAAGAGGAAAATTCAGCTCTCAGTGAGCACTGAGAAGCTCTGCCACAATGACCAAATGGAATACAGCTCAGGGGTTCTGATGCAGAGCCCTTCAGGAGAGCCAGAATTTTCCTCTCCTGGATTTCCCCTCCTTCTCTGTTAAGACTTGTGTAGAAATTAGGAAATATGTCAAATGTATGATACCTCTACTCATTTTACTTCAAAAGAACCATCTGCCATTAAGGTTTTTTAATGTTTAGGGAGGAAAAAAGGCAAGTTAAAAGTAACTTACAAATGGAGTCATAAGACTTTGCTATAAAGAGCTTTATAATGACAGATATAATTATGCTACACATCATAGACTATCTTCTGCATATATAGTAATTTATAAAGTACTGCTGTCATAAGAAAAAACAAGGCTTGATGTTCTCATTCTTAGGTATTAGCACATAAAAGTCTCTAATAGTAAATAGATACAAGTATGATACTAGTAATAAAGAATAAAACTTGTAGAACATACCATTTACTATATTATTTTGATTATATTTGGATTAAAATTAGGTTGTAAAATAGAGATAAAAATAAAGCAATGATAATAAAAAGGGGTGTTTTCACTTGGGGCTGATATAGGGGGATATTTCCTACAAGCTTTGAATGTTGTTTTTCCCAAATATAGTAACCAATAATTAAATAAATTAATAACTGAGACTTAGTGTCTTCTCTTACCTGGGATGTGGCAGTTTCCATGTGGAAATGGTAGCTCCATTGGGCAGCCTGGCAAAGGTAATGTAAAACACACTGAACTTTACATTTTATAGTTAGCTATCAACACAGAAATGTAAAAGAAAGAGTTGATGTTTATCATCTGACTCCAAAATAAGTTTTAGCAATAGGCTTGAAAAGTGCTATTTTTTTTGAAAAGTAAGAGATTTTTCTGAATTACTTTGTTATCTATATTAGCCTGTCAAAGGAGAGGCCCAATAATGATAGAATTATGACCAAGCCGTAAGAGAAATGGAGTGAGTCCATATGGTACCTAGTCTTGGGAGTCCATCCTATTAGATTAACCCTTAGACCTAATGCTTAACTAATAAAAGTTAATAATAACCTCCTCGAATATGTATTCCAGGCTCTAGAGACATGGAAGGGAAAGTTGCCATCAGCCCCTTCCCATATGACAAGCTGAGAAGATTTTATCAGTTTAACTGTTGCAAAGCCACATTTAGACCCTCTTTTAAGCCAGAACCTAAGAGTTATCTTGACTGCATTTTTGATCCTACTGCCTTGTTCATCATTGCTTATCACTAAGCCCCCTGCAAAGAATTAAAACTGGTCATTTCACCCTGCATGCTCCAACTAAAGCTGCCCGTCATGCAGTTATTTCCTCCCTGACTCTGCCAGGTCTCCTTGTGATCCTGCCCAAAGAAAATGATCAGGCATCTTTGTGATTTTGCCCTAAGATAATGGACAACTAAACTTACTTTTCCTTCCACATGTGTGTTCACACTGACACATTCTTATAAAAGTTCTGTATCTAGTCCAATGCAGAAGAGATGGTTATGGACTCCAGTCTACTCTCTCCCCATTGTTAGCCTCATTAAATAAATTTCCTTCCTTATTCATCAACCCTGGTCTCTCAAGATTGGCTTTTTTCCCTGGTCTATGGGCACACCTACCCATTCTGGCATCAGAATGTTATGCAAGAGTGGTTTACATCATCCAAAACTAAATTGACAGCCTATTTACCTAACTTGAAACACCAAATTACTCCCTTACTTCAGAGGACCTATTTACATTTCCATAGTGACTTAAACTGGAAAGTGGTAGTAGATGCCAAAAAGCCAGATGTACTTCTCATTCCAAACTGAAAGACTATAGGGGGAAATATTAAAAAAAAAAAAAAAAAAAAAAGGAAGGGAGAGTTAGTAGGTAATCAAGCCATCCTCTGACCTATGTGCTAGAGGTGGGGGGTTTGGGCTGTTCCTCCCATTGGGAACTCCAGGAGGATAATGTCTGTATCCAAGTCTGGAAGAGGGTATTATCTAAGAACACAGAGTAACCCATTATGGTTAGACGGACTAAGGGCTTGAGCCCAGTTTTCCTCATCCGTAGGTGGAAAAGAGAGTACAGACTTTCATGCTACCCCCAAAATTAGACATGAGAGTTTACTGATTACATGACTGGGGAGCTTATAAGAGATACTTGGTGAGAATGGAGGCAAAAGTCACAAAAGACAGTCTGATTCAGGAGCATAAATGAGTTAAGATCAGAATTTTAGAAGGATATAAATCTGCAGGAGGGCATTAGCATTTAAAAATTTTTCCAGGAGATTCTGACAGATATTCAAGGTTAAGAACCACTGCCTTGGAGCCAGCCAGTGATATAGTGGTTAAAGCACTAGATTCCCACTTGGCTGACTGTGCACTTGTAGTCCCAGACTTAGCAGCTTAAAAACATGCTGGGTAGGCATGCAGCGTGCCCAAAATCCCAAGAGGAAAATAGAAAAGAGATTGCAGTGTGACCATTCTACCCCCCTCCCCAGGGGTGATTTCTCACTTTCCCTTTCTCTGTCTCTCTGTCTCTTTCCTGCCAGCACAGGTACCCTATGGAAAAAAAATAAGAAAAAACAAACAAAAAAGAACCACTGCCTTTGGAAAAACTTTGAAACAATCATCAAATTCCCTAACTTAAAGAAGGCATTGTGTAATGTGCTTTCATACACAATGTATTTCATTTCCATGCTAATCCCTAGGATGGAAGTATTAACCTTATCTCAGTGATGGTAACCTTGAACCTTAATGTAAATAACTTGCCCAGATCAACCCGGGCAGCAGAGATGTGATTCAATCTGATTCTACACATAAAGTTGAATTTTTTTCTCATTTAATTTAGACTGTAAGTGCATACTGTTTTCTGTGCTATCTTTCTTTGTAGAGGTTACATAATTTATGAACTGCTTCTTTAGGATATTCTCTCTGAACAGGCCTTACAGATGCCTTCTATCCATTTTGGTAATCCCTCTGCCTCCAGAATTCTAATAGTTATATAGTAGAGGTCATGATGTAAATTTAGTTACTTATGATCCTCTATTCCTGAGATCTCCATTGTCCTGAAATGGGACCGTAAAATCTACTTTCATATCACTCCAAAAGATCTTCCAAGGTAAAAGATTTTCACAACATAAAAAGAGATTCCTCTCCTGACAGATTAGTTCAAATAACAAACATTTTACCATCATTTTTACTTAAATGGTATTGTCATCTAAAAGGACTGAGACATAATTAAGTTAGGCCAAGATTTGTAGAGATACTACCATCTGCAAGGTGCCATTCCTGACATCAAAAACTGCATAGTTTTTTAGAGACGCTAAACACAACAACGATCATAAATCACTGTATGTCAGAATCTGTGCCAGACATTTTATATACAAAGTTTAATTAACCTTCAGAGCAGAGTTACCAGCGAAGGGTCATTACATCTCTTTAACAAATAAGGAAACTGAGGAAAGAGACGTGAAATCACTTGCCCATAATCACGCAGCTAATAAATTATAAAGCCAGGGTGTGATACATGTCAAGATAGAAGAAATAGAGTTGGATATGCTTATCTCTTACTTAAAGTAAGAGGTAGGGAACATCTCAAAGAAAAAAGTTGACACTTAAAGCAGATGTCATCTGAAGTTTAAATGAGAGTCTGACAGACAAATCAAAGTGCACACACAAAATGTGACATAATTCATAATATGTCTTACATATCAGACAGCTTTTCCTTCTGTACATTAATCCTGCCAATTCATCCTCATATCAATTGTTTAGCCACTAAGACATTAAGATAAACTTGAGTACATACTTGGCAAATAACTATAACCTTTTTAAAAAGGTACATCTTGTTTTGGGCAAGTGGGGGAAAAGTAGGAAAATGTTGAGAATAAGTACAGCAACACCCTCTAATAAACATTCCCTGGGAAAAGACCCTGGATGTCGTGACTGAGTTTGAGAGACACTGCAAGCCCGCAGAGGGGCTACTCTTCTGGTTAGTAATGCAGAGCCCCAGTTCTCCTTCCTGGCACAGAATAGCAAGATGAGTCCAATCTCGGTACTTGTCTGATTTTTAAACTTGGTACACTTCTTCCAACTTGCACTGTCTATCCTATCTCATAGAGAGCATTTACCTCATGATATTGCACTTACCCACTTAGAACTGTCATACCCACAAAACTTTAAACTTCTACAGAGTAGAATCACATTCCACTGTACCTACCTATACCATTGCTGGTATCTAATACATACTCACTGTGTGATGGTGAAACTAAAAGAAAACAATCCATCTCGGTACTTGTCTGATTTTTAAACTTGGTACACTTCTTCCAACTTGCACTGTCTATCCTATCTCATAGAGAGCATTTACCTCATGATATTGCACTTACCCACTTAGAACTGTCATACCCACAAAACTTTAAACTTCTACAGAGTAGAATCACATTCCACTGTACCTACCTATACCATTGCTGGTATCTAATACATACTCACTGTGTGATGGTGAAACTAAATAAAACAACCCCTCCCTGCTGATAGTAAACATCACCCCAAACTAAAATGACAGCCTATTAATCTAGCCTGAAACACCAAATTACTCTCTCTCTCCAGAGAACCTATTCACATTTCCACAGTGACTTACACCAGAATGTGGTGGTAGATGCCAAAAAAGCCAGATGCACTCCTCTATCCATTTTCCTTAGGCTTCTTAGTCCATATGGCTCTCACCATTCTTATAATGAGACTTCAGGTTTAAGATTCATAAGTCCATCATTTCCAGAATGCATAGCCCAGACACAGAGCCCATGCTATTTTTTCCCCCAAGTGGAGTTGGCACTGGATCGTAGTGTGATGAATTTATTATGTACTTCAGCAGGCATGGTAGTTTTTAAGAGCAAAGTGCCAGAAACAGAAGCCCATTGATAAAATTTTTAAAAAGTAAAAACTTTGCCAATTTTCTCCAAATACCATCAGAGTAAACTATCACCGAATACAAGTCGTTTTCCCCATAAATAACAGCATGAAGCAAATCTATTGCACCCTCAACTCTTTGAAAAGACTAAAAATAACCTCAGAGAGCTGGTCTAATTATCCTACATAAATACAACAACATGTGAATGTCAGAGTATAGCATCAACTAATTGAACAGCTAGAACTAGCAGAGAACTTTTAACAGAAGATTCTAAGAGTGTATGATCTGATAATGACGGCATTAAAGGAATGTTCTGATCTTCACAGCATAGTTAGAACCCCATAAAGCATTGCAAATGACAACAACTGTATTTTCATATGCAAAGGTCTATCATTAGGGAACTTAGCCCTCAAGTTTTTTTATAATAATGCACCACAAATTCAATAACCCATATAGTTTTTCCATAGAAATACAGACTTGCTTAATTTCCTAACTTTGCGCTGTTGATTACTACAGAAATATCCTTACTGCCTACATACTATAGTAAGCTTAATTATGCTACTATTTTCCCATTTATACTGAAAGCACTACCAGTAAAAGTTCAATTTTAGTCCTAGCACTGCTCTACATGAAAATATAAGTATTGAATGTATGTGGTACCATCAAACATGAATAGCAAATTTAAAAACCATTGTAACTAGTCACTGACGTACTTTAAAAGATGCTATTAAATTTCATTATTAAAGCAGTATGTCAACATTGACAGAGCTAAGACTCACCAATAAGGTTTAGGATGTTAAACCTTAAATCTAAAGCACTGGTTTTACTGCAAACCATTGAGAGTACACACGCACATGTACACATGCCTGCACACACACACACACACAAACACACACACATACAGTCTCTATCCTGGTATGATTATCCGAACCTCTACCATGTTATTGGATTCTCGCTGGTTAATTTTTCCTCCCCTCAGCTAGCAAAAGTATTTAAGCAATGTATTGAATGAAAAATATTATTTACTTTGCAGTTAAAAACAAAAAGAAAGCTAAAGTACGTATGCCAAATATTCTTACTGCATTTGACTTGTATTTATCTTTTTGTCCAATTTTTCTAGAAAATTATAATTTAAAAGCTACTTTCTCTGTCACTGGAACCATTCATTCTCTTAAATCACTAAATTCAAAGAAGTCAAGTATTAAATGCTTTTACTTAAAAAAATCTATCAATGGAGAAGTTTCATAAAAAGTACTGGTTTATATTTTAAAAGATCCTGATCTTGATTGACTGACTATTCAGTGAATGTGTATTGATTCCTATGTAAATTACCAAATGAGTATAAGAGGGTTCTGAGGATTTGAGGACCTTTGCTTCAAGGTGCCCTTTAATTGACAGAAACTTAAAGAAAATATACAACCAATTAGAATACAGTACAAACATAAAATGAATTCAATTTTTTTTAAGACAGAGAATTTTTCTATAGGGTGAGTCCACTCACCAAAGAGGCAGAGAGAGATAAAGAGACAAAATGAGAAATCTCTGCTGGTGGGGTGGGGGAATGCGGGGGCAGGGAGGATGGCCATACCACAATTCCTTCTCCTCCATTGTCCTCTAGGGATTTGGGGCATGCATGAACGTGCACCCAGCATGAGTTTTAAGCTACTGGGTCTGGGACTCAAACCACAGTCAACTATGTGGGAGTCCAGTGAGTTAACCATTACACCATCTGCTGATCCTATGAATTCCATTATTAAGATAGAAAGTATTACCATATTTTAAATGATCAAAATAATATATGAGTAAATGAATCTAAAGTGATACTGAGTGAAAGTTGAAAGGATTTGAAAGGTAGTCATAAAATGGCAAAGAATATTATGAAATGAAGGGCCACGATGAGCAAGTAGCCCTGTTTTATTGGAGTGATATTATGAAGGGAGATAAGACTGAATAGGGATGGAGTATGCAGTGGAAAGCAGGCTTCACATACCAAAATCAAGAGTTGGTATTGGGCCAGCCTTTTAGCACTTAGCTCAAGGGAGCCAGATACCACATGGCTGACCTTAGTTAGAATCCTGTCCCTTGATGGCTTGAAAAACAAATTGACTATGTACATGCACATGCATGCCTGAATCCTGATGGGACAGAAAAATGGAAGTAGAAAGACTACAACATGATCAGACCCCATTGGGCAATACTTTCTTCCATTCTCTCTATTGTACTGTTTCTATCTGGTAAGCACTTGTCCCCTCTGGCAACTAAAAAAAAGAAAGAGTTGGTATTTAAATCTATCATCAACAAGGTACATTAAAATGAAAGGGTTCAGGACAAACTATTGAAAACATGGCACATTGATACCTTAAATATTTTTGGCTGAAGACATTTGAAAACTGGACATATCAGAAGAAATTTCTAACCTTCCCCTGAATGAGGTTAGAGACCTTCATGTACTCACTCTATATCCAGAGGAAAGAAAAATCCTTATATGCAAAGATATAATGTTAAGAGGGAAAAAAGGGGGCCAGCAGATGGCATAGCAATTACATCACTGGACTCCAACATGGCTGATCGTGGTTCGAGGCCTGGGCCCAGTGGCTTGAAATATCACGCCAGGTACATGTGCAAGTGTGCCCAAGATCCCGGAGGAGAATGGAGGAAAAAGGATTTCAGTGTGGCCATTCCCACTGGGGGTGATTTCTCACTTTCTCTCTCACTGTCTCTGACTCTCTCTCTGAGCACATGTGCCCTAAAGCAAAAACATCTCAAAAAGAAAAAAAAAAAAAAGAGAGAGAGAGAAAAAGCTATAATCTACTTTAAAAAAAATCATATAGAGGAAAGATTGCTTAAGTATTTCAAGTTAACACAAGTTATGATTGAATAATGAAGATATAAGTAATTCAATTTTGTTCTTTATACTCTTTTTACTTTCCAAAGACTCTAAAATTATTTTGTAATAGGGGACACATTTTAAAAGCTTTAAAGTCTCAATAAGCATTTTCTGAGTCCCCTTCAGCCTGACAATGTACAGCTCAATAGAATATAAACTGTGAATATCATCTTGTCCCTAGGGTGGTTTTCTGTCTCATCCAAAAGGCCCAAAGCCTTATAAATCTGTTCTGGTTCTAACCAATTTTAACTCAGCAGGCCTGGAGCTGTTACTAATCCAATTGCATGTGTGACCTGGCTAAAGTGGACAGCATAATAGAGCTGTACCTGTTTTGACAATGTCATTTCTCTAATAGGTTCCAGTTATGCAGTCCCAACTATGGATCAGATGCAGAGTCCTCCATGGCTTGGTAATAATTTGCTCAGTTTCTATGTTGCCAGGGGAATAAAAGATGCTTTGCTATCCTTTCATGTCCATGAACTCTGTTTTATAAAATCTTTATCATTCTCCAAAATATTATCTCATCCAAGTCCTGACTAAGAGTGATTCTCAAAAAATAGAGAAATTGCAACTCAAATAAAATCAAAGTGTGGCACATAGGAGAATTGTTTTAAAAAATGTACTCCAATTCAACTCCTCCAGTAACCAAGGCACAAGACACCTTTCTGTTTAATCAAAACTGCTGAGGAATAGCTAAAGTAGTATAGCAGAAGTAAGCAGCTTCGTGGTGCTGGAACCATATGAAAGATGAGAAGTTTCATTCTTGGTCGACCTGTGTACACCTGTGCTGACATTTTGCCTGGATGGGAAGGCTAGTGGGAGGGTCATGGTGTGAGACTTGCTGACAGTACCTGAATTTTTCTCCCTTCCTCTCTGTCTGTCATTCCCTGTCTCTCACATCATGCAAAGAGAAAAAAACTTTAAAAAAAAAGAACTAGGCCAGTCCATGGTGTGGTGAATAAGGTACTTGGATCACATACAGGCAACTGAGTTTCACACAAACAACTGAGGTTCAAGTCCTGGACCCAGCAGCTTGAGAAACACATTGGGTACATGTGCGTGTATGTGCCCAGAACTTTGAAAGGAGGATGAAATGGAAGAGAAATTATTGCAAAGTGACCATTCCTCATGGGAGATAAAATCTCACTTTCCTTTCTCTCTATCTCTCTTTCCCACTCTCTTTCTGTCTCCAACAGTTGCACATTCTGGAAAAATTTAAAAACAATAACAAAAAAATAGCTAATCCTGACATAAAGGGCTTGTATGCTCTATCCTTTTCTAAATCTGCAATCTAATATCTTGTCATATTTCACCTCCTTTCTTACTCTCCAGTTACACTAAACTTCTTGCAATTCAAGTCTGCATGGTCTCGTAGACATACTGTTACTCCTGCTTTCTCTCTGTATAGTCAATCTCTGGCTCCTTTTCATCTCCTCTATTCTTAACCCAAAATTTCATCTGAATAATTCCTACTCAAATATCAGTACTCTGCTGGGGTTGTAGAGTGAATAAATACTCTCTTTCAAAAAGATTTTATATATATATATATATATCCGGATCTGCCACTGTTATGCTCTTAGACAATCTAGTTGATTATATTGTCTTTGTATGTGGTAATAATGCATTAAACTTGTCATCCAGTGATGACAGAGACAAATGGCACTAGAATCATTCCTGATATAGCCAGAATAAATGAGGAATTTGACACATAGTAAAATAAAGAAGTACACATACTAAAGAAAGAATTTGGATCAGCTGTGTGTTCTGATGGTTAAAACAGCTAAATTCCACATGGTCAACCTCATTGTTTGAGTCCTGGACCTGGCAAAATGCTTAGTATGTGACCTTGCATGCACCAAAATCCAAAAGGATGGAGACATGAAGGAGAAAGGGTGTGTCATGACTATTCCCCATGAATGCTTTCTCCTCTCTCTTTCTGTTTCTCTCCTTCCAATAAGCACATTCACCTTTTAGCAAAAATAAATAAATAAATAAATAAGAAAAAAAAGAAAAAAGAAAGATCTTTTGATCCTTCTATTTCCCATGAATCTGGTTGAACATAAATTTTTCAGAACACTTAAAATTGTTGCTATTAGTTATTTTCAAAATGCTAGTATGAGGCACTGGATTAAATCTCTAGTGAAGCAACTGTAACTGGTGAAAATTATTTTTAAAAAATCATTTTCATTTTCTGAAAATGTTCCCCAGGGCATATAGCAAATTAAAAAATGTGTTTTCAAGGGGTGACAGCCAGTGACACAGTAGTAAAACACAATGCTCCGCAAGGCAGACCCACATGGAAGGGACAGCAGTTTGTGTGTGTAGAC